CTCGATCCTTTGGATTATATATTTTTCCAACATTCCTCCCGAGTGACGAGCGTAGCTTTTCCTGCGCATGTCCGGAATTGTCTTTTACTGGGTCACGGTTGAATCGGATAGATTAACAATCAACCGCACCTTCGTTATCTCGCTTATCTGCATACGTACGACAAAAACGTATTCAATGACAGTGTACACACGCGGCAATTATCATATCAATTTCTTTTTCACATTCAATCTCGCGCGTCTTTATTAACAAGCCGTGACAGACACTTAGCGCATTTGATATATTCGCATATATATGCATAAATAAACATTCAATTAAAAGATAATGATACAGCGGCTTTCAAAATTAATAAATATCAATTATATATTATAAGGCTAAGGCTATAACCACTTACATAGCGAATGCGCAAGAGTGTTGAGTGTAAAGGACAGACGATAGGTGGCGTTACGTCACAGCAAGTAGTTCGATGATAAATTTAAATTTATATACACACCTACTTGGTGCACACATGCATATATATGAATTACTTATTTCTTTTACGTTCATATTTTTTGTCATTTTGTTTTTTTTTTCATTTTTTTTCTGTTTTCTCTGTTTTTTCTGTTGTTGTTTTTTTTTTTTTAATTTAATCAAATTTGCGAATAATTTTAACGCACACTTATCGCTTATCAAAGTTCTTCCGGATTGAAATTTTAATAATTTTAACGTATTCTAAGTTATTTTAACGTAAAATATTTTATAAAATAATGTTTATAAAATATGAGTCTAAACGTTTGCCAAATTTCAAAGTTTCAAAGTCATTAAAAACATTTAATAACTCAAACGCAATGATGTTAAATCTATTTTTACTTTCAGCAGTACGTAAATGTATTATGTTTTATTGGCGTTCGAGTCTATTTGTCAGGGGCGTGCTTAAGCGAATTAAACGTTAAAAAACAATTTGATGCTTCGTCCTTGGAATATATGTAAAGTAGGTAAAATGAGAAGAATAAAAACAACAAAAAATTAAATTTTTCTTAACACGATACAGCTGCAACTTATTAATTAGCCCGTTTATATATTATTTAAATTAATTCTAATGTTATAAAGTACGATAAAAAAAAAAAAAAAAAAAACCGGAAAGGAAAGGAAAAGAAAAAAAAATCCTCTCTCGAAAAAGTGAACTAAGAGTTCAAAAATTCATAAAATTCATCAAATTACTTATACCCAATGACATTGCAAGAAAGCATAAAAAGTTATGTTATCTTGGTATTATTAGAAGAACGATAAAAGTAAAAGAAAAAAAAAATCAAAATACCTTATTTTGTATTAAAGAGAAATGTATGGAATTTAAGCAAATATTTAAACGTAGCTCGAACGCGCATAATCATTATAAACGAATTATTCTAAATATTTGATAAGAAATTATCTAAATAAACATAAACGTAATTTTTCGCTGTACCGCGTATTAGCCTACTACCATGGAGAGAAAAGTGTATTTTTAAAAGTTTAAATTCAACTAAGTAAAGTGCCCCCTCGAACTTTTATCGAGGCTGCCTCTACTATATATTACATGGAATTTTTCAGCCTCGTGCGAGTTTCTTTTTTAACATAAATAACATCTCAAAGCTATTTTTAAACATTATCTTCAATTTAATGTTCGGGCGATTAAAATACCGATTAATCAATAACAAATAATCATTTCCTCGATTTATGGCTAATCTAAAAAATGTGCATTACACGAGGAGGTTAGACAAAATTCCTACGCGCTCGCTCGACTCATTCCATTCTCCCTTGTAAAAACGAGCGTATCGGTTATGCGGTAATTGATAAAATTTCATTTCAGCAGACAATAATTCCTTTATAGAACGCAGTCGCCAACGTAGCGCTGGAAAATTAATTGCATCGCGCGATAATACGGCTGCTAAAAAATAAATAAAACTTTTGTGTACAAACTGTACAGCTTATTAAAGGCGTAAAGAGCAATTCAGATACGTCAGGGGCCATTTCGTCATGTCTATCTATCTATTTTGTGCGCCTAACGCTCGTGATGCTGATCCAGTCCTCGACCCCATCCCCCACCATCCATCCCCCGTTACACAGATATTGCGAATATGTCAGAGAGGGGTGAACGTACGACAACGTTGTGCAATCGTCGTCAAAGGACGAAACTTTTCAGCCTTCCGTTCCCGCAATCTTATTTAAACTGTGAGCACTTTACGCGTGCGATTCGTACCGCCACTCGGGAGCGCAATACCCGACAAATAATACGGAACGTTCGACCTTATCGACTTATGCCGCGGGTATCCACGTACGCGCGTCACGACCAGTACGTGTGGATAATGTCTTTAGTCGCACACGCTAATTTCGCTCCTACCTTATCGCGTGACTCTTTCGCTTCGTGTATGCGTCGGAACTATTCTCTCTGCCGATCTACATTACGATGCTTATTCGGCCTCTCGCTCCTGAAGGACGCGAGTCAGTCCAAAGGTTGGCTGGGCACAATCCGGGAGTCGGGCGTGCGCGTGGCCACGAGCTGCTGCCTCCAAGTCAAAGTAAAAAGCTCCATGGGGCTTTGGATGGGTGGGGGTTAGGGGACGACGCGGTCCAACTCACGCGGACCCTCGCCCTTTTTCTCCGCTCGGTCTGGCTCTCTTTTAGCCGCGTGACGTCACTCCCTTCATCACTCAATAACAGCTGTGCACGCATCTGATTTAAACCTTAACTACGTAGCGCACGAAAATTTGTCGATTTTGTTCATCCGCTCGAACAAGGCTTTTTCCTCTCGGCCTTTCCGTGGCGCTCGAGCGACAATTAGCCGCGATTATTCGCGCTTCTCTCAACAAACAAACAAAAAAAATTAAAAAAAAAAAAAACGACTCGCGCTCGCTTTTGTCATGTATGAGTGCATGAAACCGCGGACATGAAATGACTTTTTCCCAAACGTCATTCAAGGTTAAAAACTTTAATGCTGACAGGCGGACGACTACGGGTCGAGCTGAAAGTGCTGTTCATATGGCTCGATACGTCGTGTATTTACGTCCCTTCTCGTCTCGCACTTAAATTGCCGAATCGCCGATACAAAATCCTTCCCAGGCTGTGCCATAGATCGCCGACTTCTTTCGGGCTACTCCCTCGATATGTACAAGGCATTAGATATGCGCACTGACGCTATCACTGCCCATGATGTTAAATAGTTGTCAACATAAATGGCCAGAACGTGCCTTGTCAGAGGGACGAGTTTCGACAAGATAGGAGTTAACCGCTCTGTCAATTAAATGAATTTTCTTAAACGATGATGCTTAAATGCCGCTTCGGTAAACGAAGCAAATACAGCGTCTCTTACGTTACTCATTTTCTCTGTAATAACAATGAGAGGGACGTTTGTGGATAAAGACATTAAATAAAACAAACAAGTAAGCAAATAAAAAGCGGTTTTCATGCAATGGCCATAGACGAATGGTCGTTTCTCGAAAAATTTGCTTACGTGTAATCTAGAAATTTATTCCGCTCATTATGCCAAGCATGTCTTTACGACATCGGAAATCCATTAAGATGGCAAAGACATTTCCCCTTAAGAATGCGAAACTCGTCTTAGCGAAGACGAGTGAATTTCTAAAAATTATCTGACCGAAAGACTTGCTGCTTTTACAATAATACGCCCAATATTCCTCATTATGGACATTTTATCAAATTAGTTAATAATCGCGTTAATTCATTTCTTTAGAGGTTTCTTCCTGGCGTAGGATTAGTCGGATAACAGAATGTATCGAAACTTGGGCGACAATCGACAACAGCAATAACATAATCAATGCTAACGTAAACTCGCTAAATCCGTTATGCTTTATGCGAATTTACCTTGCACTGCATAATTTACGTTATCGAGTGTTGTTTTAACGAAACACGTTTAGGTGACACAATAAATTGATGAACGTACGAGCACGACAGTGCTCTCGTGTGTTTTAACGACTCCGTCAATTTTACGTTCTCCATTTACTTATCTCTTAATTATTTTCCATTGGCCATTTAAATCAACGTAGATGTCATAGATGAAGAATCCGCGCGTTTAAACGGAAAGCCAGCGTTTTTGAATAAATATCATGAACAGACTGTGTCGACGATGTCGAAAATACGTGTAAGGCAAAGTATGCGCAGAAAACGAAAAGCATCATCGTAATAGGAAAGTTACAAATCCCATAAAGAAATCCCTCGTGCATTAATATATCTTCCCAGTCCAACTAATTCCATAAAAACACAAATTACGAAAAAAATAATCATTTTTAGCGTGTTACACCCCCCCCCCCCCACCACGCGCACACACACACACACACCTTACCCCTTACCTTACCTAACCCCCTCACCAACACCCACACCCACACCCACACCCACACCCACACCATCACACGTGCCCGTCTCGCGCGACACTCGACCTATACGTTTGCGTACACGTGTACGTGCACGTGGGCGGTGTGCGCGAGACGAAGGAGCAACGATCCGAAGACTTGCAAACGGTGTCTGCGACTGAGATTGCCGCGATTTAGATTACGACGTTCTTAATTGCTTTTAGATGTCGAGGCAGCGTCGGGCGACGACGAGTCGTAAATGATTGTAAATTATGAAAGAGGCCGACTCAAATTTCAAAACGTTTTCTTCATCAGCCTTAAATGGTCGCGGAGCGAGTGATTTACAGCGTATTCCCGAGCCGCCCTGATCGATTACACCCTAAGCTCTAAACAAAAAATTCAACGGAAATTCACACTGCAAAATTGCAATCGATCCTTAAGCATTCGATTGGCAAGCCTGGCTCACGCATGGCCCACGCAACTTGGGCAACTGCAAATTCGGCTCCCACAAAATTCGCACAATCGGCTCTGGCCAACGCGCAATAAGTCATATCCGACGGAGCGAGATCAAAGTAAATTTGTGAAAAAAATTAGAAGGCCCAGTTCTTCGTGACCCTCCTCCTCGTATTACGAAGATTTATACGAAGAGATACAAACAAAGGAGCATATGGACGTGGTTATTGCCTTGTGTACGGTGATCGTTCATACAAGTGCCTGAAAGGATCGAGCCGTCGGGATAAAGTCCCGACACCCCCGTTGACTCCTTGACCCAGCCCCTCGTCTCTGAGCTTTTATATACGCACGGGACACGCGAGGGGGTGTGGCGTGACAACGCGGCAAGTTAAATCGTTAGGCTCGCCTCGAGCGAGGGCGCGTTGATAACACGAGACCCCGGGAGCTCGCGAATTTTGCGTTGGCGGCCCCGAGCCGGAATGCCGGCTGGACGCTGTCGATTCGCGAATAATCGAGCCGAACGCGCGCCCAAGCCCACGACTGCTTCAGCTCTCGGACTTTGATTACATTAGGAAACGCCATTCCCATTATCGTAATAATAGGGCCAAAACATACTTCGAGTCGTTGTGAAGGAAAAGCAAAAAAAAAAAAAAAAAAAAAAAAAAAAAAAAAAATAAAGAAAAACGAAAGGAAGAAAAAAAAACGCAAACAGGAAATAATAATAACAATAACAAGAATGAAATATAATTAGCGGACTGGACTTGATTTCGCTGTTTTTGATTTTGATTTTCAGTGAGGGCAGAGAGAAGGTACGAGTATCGTTATTGGGACCCACTCCCTTTCCGTCGACGCCCGGAGTTCTTCTACTGGAACCGATAGGGCCTCCGATAGATATCATGGCAGCTAGTCCCGCGGAACTTTTAACCGCCCACACGGATCACACAGTGCCGACGTATCATACACAAATCAGGTAATTCGCGTGGATTATTTCATTCGTTTGTTTGTTTCTGTGATTTTTTTTTCTTTTTGCCCAACGAGGGGACCTGGGCGAAGTGTAATGGCACTAGAGACGCCCAAGTCCCGGTATTCATTACTTTGTAACCAATTCGTGACGTTGACGAGGAATTTTGCGCCTAAGCGTGAGCGTCTACGTGGAATGCAATTGTTTCAACCGTCGAGCTTCCGTCGAGTCCTTGTGCGATTGAATTATTTTCCCGTGGTGATGGGAAGAGAGGATTATAAAGGATGCGGGCGATCAAATAGAGAAGTTGCTGCGGGTGTTGCTCGAAGCGTGTCTTCGGAGATTGGTAGTCTCGGGTAAAAGTGCTATTTGCCGTGGCGGCTACGTGCGAGCGTAGTGTGTCGAGTATAAAATCCGGATGTTCTAGAGCGCTTAAACGCTCGCGCTGCATGAAAAGAGAAGAGCGCGCGACAAGTTCGGCTTAAGTGGTTTGCGGGACTCTGTCACGTCACCAGGCAGGATGTTACGTTGCCGGAAGATCGTTTCTTTTAGGGCTGACGTCGGAGCGCAAATCCAAGCGGCCCGGACTCTCGGCCCGGCTTTCGCTGCTTGACGTCGCGCCGCCATTGTCATTACGTAGGGAATCACGGCACGTATGCTTGAGATCGGGAGTAAAAGTGGAAAAACGAGGAGAGCGTCGGGAGAGTCGAGAGAGCCGGGAGAATGGAAATGAAAGCAAAATACGAGGTTGATTGAATGGGAGGCGATCGGATCGATGAGGGCGTAACTAACGGCCGTGGCCCTTTACTGGGAGCCGCAATCACGGAGCGCAGGAGGAATATTGGCGGAAGTCGATCGAAGGACGAGCTCGTCGGCAACCTACAGAGACGACGACACTGACACCGACGCCGACACCGACGCCGACACCGACGCCGACGCCGACGCCGACGCCGACGCCACTATTATAGTCGCGCTCGCGTTCGAAGTCCGGAGCTGGGAATTTTTATCGGATCCGATCAGGCGGTTATATGGACGAATGGACGCTCGATTTTCAAACTTATTGAGTGAGCACAAGATTGCGATTATAATCGCTGGATGGATTCGTAAGACGTGGTTTGAACGTTCCGCTTGGGCCGATAAAGTCCGTATTCCGTAAAATTTAACATATTCGTTGCAGAAGACTTTTACGAGAATTAACTTGGCATTTAGCAGAAAGTTACTAGTACATTAGAATAAGTTCCACTGGTTGAATAACCGCCTTCTTCTGCTAAATAAATTTTTATATTTTTTTTTTTTTTTTTTTGTTCAATTCATTCTTACGACGCTTTCAAACAATTAAGCACTTTCATTTAATAGAGATCAATAATATTGCATTATCGATTTAATCAACCGAACGATAACATTTGCTCGATATATAGAACTTTCGTAATATCTCAAATGGATTATGGATTGCTGATATTGGCATACGATATATCCATAAGTAATAAAAGTTATATCTTGAAAATCAATCGATCAATAAGCGAGTTGGAAAGAACATTATTTGTAAAATCTTATTCCACTGATAATACAAAGTGACGGAATTATTTTGCCAACGTTGTGTAAGCACTGTTTAACTCGAACTTTTAATCTTGGCTTTTATTTGTGCTATAATTGTTAATAATGCATTATCTTGCTGGTTGATGGCCGGTGATGGCAGATCTTGGTATTTTCAGGCGTCGAGGAAGCGCTAAGGAAAGTAACGTTAATTCATCGAGTAAAGTAGCAAAGATTGTTGTGGAGAGTAAAACACAACTATATACAGCTAATGAAAAGATTGATTCTTTTCTTCCTCCTATTGGGCCTTAAATACCGAAACGGCAAATTTATGCATTAACATGTGGCGTTCAATAATTGCTCATTGCACACTTGATGATCAACAGGGATATACACGGAATACCGAACAGACTATAAGCCCTTTTACTTGTGCAAACAAAAAGAAAAGAAAAAAAAAAGCTTGATACGCAATTAAGATGAACGTACACGTCGTGGGCGCTTCTTGAAACATAAGAAGCAAAAATTTCACTCCCTCGGCTGTAGTGAAGAGGGGCTTCTTATTCCGCCGGCTAAACAAGCCTACGGATAAGTCACTACGAGAGAGGAAGCTTAAAACGCGAAAGTTTTCAATTAAAAAGCGTACTGTGGGTCATTTAAAGCGGCTTTCGGCCAGAGAGGAAAGCGAACGTCAATGCAAGCTACGACTACCGGTGATCTAAACAAACAGATGTAATGTGAGAGACCACGGCGGACCTCCGGCGTAGTCCACACAGTCGGTCACTCTCGTCTCATTCTCGGTTGGACGCAAGAGTGGCCGGGGGCGAGTGAACGAAGCTACGGAGCTACAAAGAGCCGAGAATGAAAAGAAAAATGAATGAGCGCGGTCGGGGCAGAGAGGCCCGAGGTTGCGGGCGATCCTGGGGGTGTCGCCGCCGGAAGCGGCGTCGCGACGCCATCCACGGGGTTGAGTAGGGCAGGGGAGGAGGCCCGGCTAGATGTCGGATCGATATAGAGGGCAGATATAGCGTGGGCGAGCGACGGAGGCGCCGCTGACGGGCGAAAGCTGCGAAGTGCCGCGACGCCTTGGCAGTCGCGCCGTCGGCCGCGCACCGACGTTCGCTCAGTACCGAGAGTCGTCACCGCGGCGAGGCTCTCTCGAGGATGACCCAGTTGGCCCCCGGGGGCTCCGGCCACGATGTAAGCCACCTACCGAGGCGCGGGGCCAGCGCTTGCGCAAGCGGCCCACCGCCTCCTCGCCGGGAGTAGACGCCGCTGACGAGGGCCGACGACCGGGACGCCGTCAATGATAGTCCGCGGGGGCGGTTCGCTGGTATCGTGACCTGGGCTGCGTGATCGGGGCCAGTGGACTCGATTTGCGCCTCGCACGCGAGTGCACCGGCTCCTTCGCAGTCGCGCCGTTTCCTGAGATGCAGCGGAGCGCGTTATCGACAACTACAAAGAGAGAGAGAGAGAGAGAGAGAGAGAGAGAGAGAGAGAGAGAGTGAGTGAGTGTGCGCGCGCGCGCGCGCGTGTGTGTGTATGTGTGTGTGTGAGAAAGAGAGAGAGAGAGAGAGAGAGAGAGTAAGGAAGTATGAGAATGATATGGTTGTATGGGAACGATGAGAGGGGGGAGGGGGTAAATCACGTCGAGCTTGCAAAGCAGTGATTACGAAAGCCACGGCTAATCAAGTGGACCTTTTTTACGGTTTCGAAGCTATAGTGAAGGCGTGCCTGATTGATTTAAACGAACGAAGCAACGCCGGCAAGTGCATCGAGTATTGGCTGTTATTTTTGTATCGGCTTTGTATTCAAGCGATCCCGATATTAATCAGCGCCCTGGATCCCCGAAGAGCTACTCACGCTCCTCCTCGAGCTTACTGAGCGATACCTAATTAGTCCCGAGTGTATTCTTGATATTATAATTATAAATTCGAGTTTAAAAAAAATTTTTTTTTTTATTTATTTACTTTTTTGGTTTGTTTTTTAATTGATAATCAGATGTATGGCGGCGAGTTCAATATGCGGGTACGCTCGCGCGCATACATTTCACGTACTATGGGTGGTACAAGCAAGTAATGGAAACTAGGTCTCGTTATTCATTAATACGTGCAATATAAGCGACATTAAAATCCGACTGCGAGCTCGTAAAATCTTTCGGATCTTGACAAAAGTTCCATAATTACATATATATATATATATATATATATATTGTAAAAAAGTACAGATATAATTAATCTCGTGTCTTTTCGTTGTACGTGTAATTGATTATTCGCATCCCAATTAAAATTGTCATGGAAACAAACCCGCTCAAAAATATTCGCTACCAGTTGAGCTGTTTTAACGTCGGAGTACAATGAGATTCGCAAGAATTTCAAAATGTTATTAGCGGTGGTTAGATTACAGTGTGCTTGTCACTCATCGAGTTACCCTCATCGAGTCGTGACTGTAGAAAAAATGTCTTGAAAAAATGATCACGGTCCGAGAAAAATGCCCGCTGTCTCTATGCTCTATTGACCGAACGAACTACTATTTGGATCGTTCTGCCAGCGCCTCTGCGACCACGTCCGTTACTTGCAAACAACGAGGTTAATTTGCCTTAACGCACCCTCGCGCTCTGCCACTCAACGTCTATTGCCCTTCGCTCGGTCCCACCAACTGCATCGCATACTCTACGTGTTGCCAGTTCGTCAATTCGCTTGGTTTTGCAACCAGAGTTGGTTAACTTTTGAGTCTTGGCGGCGACGTAACTCTACGACGTCCTTCTAAAAACTCCGCTCTTAACTCCACGCCGATGCCATAATAAAATTTATATATAGATTTTTCGAGGCCCCAGCGACTGGTAAATATCGCGGTTTAATATTGCCTGGTTCTCCCACTTCGATTCTTTAATCGTTCGGCCTCTCCAAGTCGCTCGCGAAAGAGCGGATTTTTCCCCGGAGTCTAATTTTAGCGCAAGACATTTTCCATCGATAGAATTATCGACCGGAACAGCCGCGCGCATACGGAAATACAGCAGCCGTGACCTACATTTATCGCTATAGGGATAACCTACCCCAACATCTAGAGGCTGCAATAGCCGATCCGACTATCTCAGGAAACATCGAATCATCCCTTTCTCGCCTCTCTCGCTCGCTTGCAGTCGACACTCGTCCGGCCATCGGACGATAAAAAATGCTGCTCGATAACGCTGTCAAGATATTGTAAACAATGTGCCGAGTCACAACCACCTTCATTGCAAATATAAATATATAAAACAACCCTAATCGAAGTAGCGACATTGTTGTTGTTTTTTTCACACAATGCAGCCGACAAACAATGGATTCTAATGAAAAACAATGGTACCGCGCAGTCGATAATCTCGTATGCCGAAGACGAGGTGAGAGTGGCCAGCGAGCAAGATGGAAAAAAAAAAGTTCTCTAGCCTTCGGTGAATACCGCTTCATTCGCATCGACTCTACAATCCTCTTTCCAGTAAA